GAGAGACTATCGTGCTGATAACGTGTTGTGAACTGTGTTTTTCATTAATAGAATAAGGGATATATATACAAGGATAATAGCATGATACAGAGAATAAGGTAAAACCCTAATGGGCCATGGGCCGGTTATGGAGTCCATCCATATGGTTTATAACATGTTTGACTAATTTATACTAGTATATACTACGTTTATTGAGTTTTATTAATGACTATTCATTTGGAAAATTTAATTAATACATGACCGCTATGTTCGTATTTTTTTTTTTTGGTGAAATTAAAATTGGTTACTAGCTAGAGGAAGTTGAATGACTTGATATATTTATTATATGCTATTCATTAATTAGTTGATATATTTATTATATGACATTCACCAGTCAAAAGAATAGTCATTTCATATGTAAATTGGGCCGGACACGAATTCTTCTTCTAAACCCATAATGGGCCTCTCCATAAAAAATTTTCTTTCTAGAAAAACGATGCCGTTTTACTAACACCAAACGTTATGATGTCGTCATCTTTGCAAGATCTAAACGGAAAAAATGCCTTAAAAACATTTAAAGAAGCAAAACGAAGAAAACACTGAGAGAGATAGAAATGGCGAGCTTAACTAGTAATAAGCCTAGAAACTTTGGTGCGTATAGTCACTACGCTACTCCCTGCACTCGCACGCACCAGATTGGAGCTCTTTTTCTCGTCGTCTCTACCTTCTTCGTCACTAGGCTTTTCGATCAGTGGTTCTCAGAATCCAATTCCGTTTCTCCGGTGATTGATCTCCGCCGTACTTCTTCTTCTTACGGAATCACGACTTATAACGGTATTCTACGGTGGCCGGAGCGAGGGTATGGGTCTCACCTTTCGCTGAAGATCTACGTTTATGATGAGAATGAGATCGACGGTCTTAAAGAGCTGTTGTACGGTAGGGATGGTAGTGTTAAGACCACCGCATGCTTGAAAGGTCAATGGGGATCTCAGGTGATTCATCTTCCTTTCGAATTTCACGATTCAATCTGGGAATTTCTGGAATTAGCAATGTAGTTAAGTGTGGATTTGTTAGGTGATTGATCGTATCTGTATGATTCTTATGATTTTGTATTGCTTATGAATATGATGATGATGATGATGATAGGTTAAAATTCACAAGTTGCTTTTGGAGTCCAAATTTAGGACGATTAAGAAAGATGAAGCGGATTTGTTCTTTGTGCCAGCTTATGTTAAATGTGTGAGAATGTTGGGAGGTCTTAATGACAAGGAGATCAATCAAACCTATGTCAAGGTTAACGAATTCATCACTCAGCGGATTCAAATTGTTGATGCTGATGTTTTTTTTTTTGTTTTGAATTACAATGATATGTATGGTTCACTTTGTTCTCTGATTCACTAGGTTTTGAGTCAAATGCCGTATTTCCGAAGATCCGGTGGTCGTGATCATATATTTGTTTTTCCGAGGTATGTGGCACTTAATCAATATATAAAGTTGTTTTGGGGGAACTGTATCGTTTTTATACTTACTTTGACATTACTTTTCTTTGTTATACTATTGTAGTGGTGCTGGAGCTCACTTGTTTAGATCCTGGTCAACATTTATCAACCGCTCTATTATCCTCACTCCCGAGGTACTTAGCTTGCTCTATTATCCTCACTCCCGAGTTACTTAGCTTGCTTGCTTGCTGCTGAGGAGTTTCTTCTATCTTGATGTATATTCGGTAGTAAAGGGGCCAATGTGAAAGTTCTTTGGTCCATATCTGTCTCTTCTGACTTTCAGAATTTTCATTGGACATTTTTAGGGGTGGTTTCGAGTAAACTAAATAGTCTATGTTCCTACTGATGGAATCATTGAGCTAGGTTCTTAGAGTTTGTTTTACAGAAACATGAATGCCTCAATGATTGTGGATGCAGGCTGACCGGACTGACAAGAAAGACACAACTGCCTTTAATACATGGAAAGATATAATCATACCAGGAAATGTCGATGATGCTATGACTAAAAATGGACAACCTGATGTTCAGCCTTTGCCTTTGTCAAAGAGGAAGTATTTAGCAAATTATTTAGGTCGTGCCCAAGGGAAGGCTGGTCGACTTAAATTGATTGACCTATCAAAGCAATATCCAGACAAGGTTAGTCTCACATTATTTCTTCAAAGACTACTCATACACTTTTTTCGTAATCCATCGACGATCTGCTTAAGCTATTACATGGCGATGTTTTATTTTCCTTGCTTGCTTCTCATGAGTGGTTTTGTGATCAGCTAGAATGTCCAGACTTGAAGTTTAGCGGAACTGAAAAGTTTGGAAGGACAACATATTTTGAACATCTGAGGAACGCCAAGTTCTGCCTCGCTCCTCGTGGGGAATCATCATGGACACTTCGTTTTTATGAATCATTCTTTGTGGTCTGATCTCTATTTTCTCTTTACCCCAACTTTCGATTTCACTTGCTTTATTACTTACCTTACGTTGTGTAATATTGTGATTTTGCTTGTTCAGGAATGTGTCCCGGTTCTTTTATCTGACCACGCCGAGCTGCCTTTCCAGAATGTTATCGACTATGCCCAAGTATCCATCAAATGGCCATCAACTCGAATAGGCGCTGAGTTTCTTGATTACTTAGCTTCAATATCAGGTAACATTTAGTTACTTCAGAACCGCTTTTTCTTTGCCAATATCAATGGATTTGCTCAGATTCTTGAGATTGAAGAACTTTTCCCCGGCATGACTTTCAGATAAAGACATAGAAGGAATGATAGCCCGAGGTCGGGAAATTAGATGTTTGTTTGTGTACGGTCCAGATTCTGCACCTTGCAGTGCGGTTAAAGGGATTCTATGGGAGCTTCAACGCAAAGTGAGACATTTCCAGCAATCGACCGAGACGTTTTGGTTGCACAATGGCAGTTTTGTGAATAGAGAACTGGTCCAGTTCAGTAGCTGGAGACCTCCTATGCCTCTACCTTGACCGGTTTCAACATTCCACTAGAATATCTTGTTTTTACGAAAAAATGAATGATAAAGTTGAGTACAGTTTTTTTGTGAACTTGATTTTTTGTACATACCACAAGAATCTCTTCAGTGAAATTTGTTTGAGTCAAATTCGATAGAAAAATGACTAACCAACAAAATTGATAGCTCTTCTCTTCGATGTTTACGGTTTATAGTACCATAAACAAAGCATCTCTCAGAGGAATGATCTAAGATTATGCAGATACTAAACTGGCCACGACAAGGAGGGAGAGTAATATGTTACAACTTACAATCTATGGTTTTAGAGATCAGAGTCATATCCGCATATTGGTCAAGCACAGTGATTGCTACATGTAATTTTTACCTGCAGATTGATCTAGATGGATCAAAGGACACTGAGTTTTGTTTCGACATTTGATTTGGCTGAATAGAAGGATCCAGATAGATGAAAGAGATTGTTGTCTATGTAAGGACAAAGTTTTGTTTCAGTAATCTACCGACAAGGAACCAATAATATAATCCCACGAAACAGAGTTCCACACGGAAATCAGAATGAGTCCAAAATCTGTTTTCTTGGAATGTCAGTGATGTTAATCCAAAAAACAAGCCTCCGTGTATACACAGCTCACCACAGTAAATACCAGGAACTTTCTATTTAAAGTAACTAACAACGATGTGGCTATGGAACATCAAAGATTTGACATCTTCCTAACACAATTATTCTGCTTTTGAACAATCGATTCGATTGTAAAAAATCCCATGGAAATCTTCTTGTATGAGTTTAATCGTTTGTTTTCTGCGATCTTTAGAAATCAGGAAATACCGAAAGCATTAAAAAGTTTATGAACTTGATTCCAAAGTTTGGAGGACGAACTTGTAACTCTGTGGTGATTGGAGATGATAAGGCTTACAAGTTTGGTGGTTACTATAAGTCCCTCAATACAGACGGGGATCATAAGAAGCCAAAAGTAGGTAAGAAGAGTGCAAAGACATTATTACTATTACACTCGAAGGTGCAAATTGTATTCAAAGAAATGCAGTTAATTATAGTAATAGGTCGAGAAGAGAGCCCTACCTATGAGGGCAAGCTAATATTTAATTCTAAGAATTTATAATCAACCTCTTCATAAAAATGTGTCCCCTATCGATGAGTGTAAGTGCCTTCTTTGTTTATCGTTTGATTCGATCGTATAAAAAAAAACTCTTTGAGCTTCGATTCAAATATACATCAAGAATATGAAGATCGGAACAGAGAGAGTGTGTATATTTAATGATCGTCACTACACTTTTATCTTTAAGGTCTAGAAGTTCTGTTGCATTTAACTCTTAACTGCCCAAAACTCTAAAATGAAGTTTAACTATGGATGTGTTTTTTTTTTTTGACATCTAGATTTATTATTTATTGCAAATTATAAGAACTGTTACATAGACGATTCTACAACGGACAATTCCTTTCGACCCATATTAGATCCACGACAGACGACACTTCCTTCTCCATGCTCTTGACGGACACCTTCAATGATCCACGACCTGACGACACTTCTCTCTCTGCGTAGAATCCTGGCGAACGGCTATAATTGTACTTCGCTGGAGATCTCATGCACAATTGCCTCCTTTAATCTGCAAATTTATTAATAAATCGTAATATCTGGGACTCGAACCCCAGACCTCTTGGTGTATAAACATTAATTAACCTTTGGTCAACCAATGGACCAAGGAGGCTTCCACAACTATGGATGTGTTAGTGCTACAAAGTTATATTATCTTATTTAATTTTTTAATCAAATAATATATACTAGTTTGTGAAAGCATAATAATAATCCATTTTTTGATCTACATCTAATGATACATTTTAGATTCTGATTTAACGTAAAACTGTGCTATCAAATATTGTGGATAACAATTTTAAAGGCTTTCACTCACAAATTAATTAGGAATATAATGAGTAGTTTGTTGCAATCGAGTTTCATAGACCAAAAAAAAAAAAATCTATAAATCCTGAAACATATAATTCAATCTCATTCAAGTTTAAACCAACTTTTACACAGAAGATTAGTTAATAAAATGGGCAAATGGCTCATTGACAAAAACAAGTGAAAAACCCTAAAGCCAAATTAGGTTCGGCTAGTGAGTACCCTTTATATTAATAGGCATGTTCCTTGTAACTCTTAACTAAAACCTAACATCTTCCACTCTTTGCTTCTTCTACAAGACTCTGACGGCCGACAAAAAAGAGTCTCGGTCACGCTATGGACATACTTTTAGAGTAAGCTCTATGGATTTTGTACCTTAATTTTCTGCTTCAATATAATTGTGGCTTGAGCATAGTGAAAATGATTTGGGGGAAAAAAGGACGAATGGATTCTTTGTGTATTTAGGGTTTCGCAAATTAGGTGGGCGCCATGAGAATTAGGTTGTTTTCGGCTTCGATTGGTAAAAACTAAAAGAGACTGTTCCTTTGTGTTGCTAGCTGTGTTTGTGAATTGACATGTTGTGAAAGTTATTCTTGTATTTCAAAAATAAATCATTAACTTTGGATCAACTTATATCTACAAGAGTGTTATGATTTTTTTTGTTTTGTTTTTAGCCCTATAGATATAGAGATATAGATATTGTGGTCTTATGATCTACTGTCTACCCTTATCAACTGCAGCCTTTCCTCGCGAATCGCAGCTAGGAAGGCCGTGGCTTTACATGAATCTCGGCGCAAAGAGCTGCTGCTATTAAGAAATCCCTCAAGACTTTTCCTAAGGATGTTGTTTGAGCGGTTTACCGAGGAAGCAATGAAAGCTATAATGCTGGCCGAAGAGGATACCCGCAGGTTTGGCCACGTATATGTAGCGACTGATCACATACTTGTGGGTCTACTACTTGGCCCCGAAAACATTGCTGCAAAGGTTCTTGAATCCATAGGAATCAATGCTAAAGATGCGCGTGTGGAGGCTATAAAAATAGTTGGGCAACGAGGATTTAATGAGCCTATTGAGGTTGAAAAGATGGAAACCAGGGCAATAAATATCCCATTTGGACCCCGTGCTAAGCACATTCTGGAGTTATCATATGAAGAAGCTCGGAAACTTGGTAAGTACTTCTCTATTTTATATATGTCAAAATTTAGAATCTTGATATGTGACTTTCTAATGTTCGGTTGATAGGGCATGACTATATTGGATGTGGACATCTTCTGCTTGGTATGCTTAGCGATGAAAGATGTTTAGCTGCTCAGTCTCTGGCCAATTGCGGTGCAAACGCTAGCAACATGCGGACAGAGGTAAAAAAAAAACAGTTGCATTATAAATAGATTCCAGTCGAGAAAGAATTAGTTAGTTTGCTTAATAAACAGACTAGGCTCTTTAGCAAATAGTACTTAATACATGTCTTTGTGTCAAATTAGGTTATACGCATGATGGCGGAAAACAACAATGAGACAGTATTGGAGAGAAGTTGTGAACCAAATGTTGTAGATGATGCTCAGGTTCATCACATTAATGAATAAATGCTTCCCTTAATCTGTTAACCTATTCTTACATATATTTCTTCTTTTGAGTTTATTGAAAAAAACACTGAAGACTAGGTAATTTGGTTGTTATTAGATTGATGAGGAAGTAAGAGAGCGTGAAAAGAAAATCAACCTGAAAATTCAAGAGAGGTACAAACTTATGTGTGAAAGCCCAGATTTTGAAAAGGTGATGATAGCTTTGGCTTTATAACAATTGGCCTACTCTTACTGCCTGAACGTAAGCAATATTATTGAGGTTTTCAACAGGCTGGTTCGCTTCTTGGTGAGATAAAGGCTCTACGCATGGAGATATATCATCTTCAGGCCAAAAAGGAAAAGCAGATAATGTGGAGCAGAATGTGGAGCTGTTGACTGGCAAATAGATGTGGGATGAATAAACGTGATGTAGCGCATCTTTCATCTTCATAAGTGCACATTTCTCTTGTTAAGTTAATTTCAATAGCCAGTTTTTCTTTTCTTTTTAAGGTTTTATGTTGTGGCCAGTCCGCTTTGGGATCATGTAATATGATTAAGTCCGGTGTGCATGGCTAAGGAACATAAACGATGTGACATCTTCCTAATACAATTCTTTTGCTTATAATTAATCGATTCGATTGTGAAAATGCTCATGGAAACCATCTTGTATGATCTGAATCGTTTGTTTTCTGCAATCTTTGGAAATCGGGCATATACCAAAATCGTTAATAAGTTTAAAACTTAGGTGAATGATTCCAAAGTTTCGTGGACGAACTTGCAACTCTGTGATGATTGATTGGTGATGCTAAGACTGATACAATTTGGTGGTTACTATAAGTCCATCAATACAAAAAGATCATAAGAAGCTAGAAGCCAAAAGTAGGTAAGAGGAGTGCAAAGACATTATTACTATTACATTACAACGTGCAAAGTTTTCAAAGAAATGCAGTTAAGCATAGAAAGTTAGAAAGGTCGAGAAGAGAGCCCTACCTTTGAGGGAAAGCTAATATTTAAATTCCCCTACCTTTGAGGGCAAGTAAATATTTAATTCTGAGAAGTTATAATCAATCTCTTCATAAAAATGTGTCCCCAATCGATGAATGTAAGTACCCTTCTTATATATATCTCGTTATCGTTTGATTCGAACGTATCAAGAAAACTCTTTGAACTTCGATTAAGAAAATACAGTATATCTGTTGAATTGTTACATCAAGAATATGATGATCGAAATAGAGAGATAGTGTATATTTATTGATCGTCTCTAGAGCTTATCTTTAAGATAATAGAGAGATAGTGTATATTTATTGATCGTCTCTAGAGCTTTTTTTTTTTTATCGTCTCTAAAGTTTATATCGTTAGGCCACCTCCATTTGGCAAACTCTTATTCAAATGAAGTTTAAATATTGATGAGTGATCACTACAAAATAAAATCAAAAATGAATGAATACACCAAAAACTTTTTAAAACGAAAAAAAAAGTTTTTCTTTATTCCGCTAGTTCCATTCATTCTGATTTTTTTTCGATATTAATAACGATCGTTCTAACCAAAAAGTACACAAAGGTGGTCCAATTTATTCCAAAGAAACAAATTTTAAAGAGAGGACAAGGAAGGTCGAATATGTCTGGAAAATGAAAGAGCTACGTGACTCGTGAGAGTTCTTACGTGCCATGCCATGTGGTGCTTGCTGATACCAATCGTATCCTTATGTCATCATCATTTCACTCTTCTTTTTTTTTTTCCTTCTTTTAATATTTTTTTTCCGTCTTTTTGCTTTCAATCATTGAGAGACTGAAGATAATTTGTGCCTACTTCTCAAACCAAACCTCAATTCTCGATTTTCTCTATTTTTGGTGAAAATTTATTAAATTAATTATCAGATAATTTGTGCCTACTTTGTGAAAGCTTACAATATAATGCATTCGTTCATCCACATCCAAAGATTTCAAGCTTATGCATTTTGTATTCGGATTTAAACGTAAAACTGTGTCCAATATTGTGGATGAATAATTTAAATGGTGTTTTCAACTCACAAATGATGAGAGAGCATGCATACGTTTATGCATGTTGCAAACTGAATCATCAACAAGTCTAGTATAATGTGCTACATTTTGGTTTTGCCTTCATGCATGTAGTAATTAATTAGATCACTTCTCTTTGTTCTAGGTAATATCAGAATCTCAAAAAATCTTGATGTAGCCAACGACAAAAGAAAGAACATGGGTAAAAAATCTGTCATTTGATATATGAGAAAGCAAAATATAGTTTCAGTGGGCGGCTATATATTGCATACATAGCTAAATTGTTTTCTTGAACTATACGTATTATAAAGGTCTAATGAACACGTACGCGAGAACAGCCAATTTCATTATTTTGTCCTATAAAAAAACCCACCAATTTGGTCATCTTCCATAATCAATTCAACTGCCGACGTTGATCCATTAACCTTAGCCTCACAATCATAACCGAATGGAATTTTTGTTGGTTTTGACTTCGGTTTACATTAACTATTATCAACGGATGGTTTGGGTCGAATAGAATAAGCTATGTACTCGTGGTGACTAGAAAACATTCTAGCAAGATCAGTCACTATACTAAAGAGCATCCTGCGGCTGTGGTTCAACGGTATAGAATAACTGAAATTTATGGAAACTTATTGTTGCCCTTAAATAAAAAAAAAAATACTTGAGAGTTTGTTAGGTTTGGTTTCGCTGATGTAACTAGAAGAAACTTTCAAAGTTAATTATCGAATTTTATCCAGAATCTCTATTAAAGGTATAAAGGGAAAAAAAAAAAAAACTAAGTTTCATATATATCATGGAAAAGATGAACCACTAGCTACTGCACCGCAGAAAATACAGGCTCGGGCCTCGAGTCACATATCAACGTCACGCCCAGAACACTCTGCCTTCTTCAGAGCTACTTTTAGTATCAAACAAAAAAAGAAAAGAAAGTGCTCTTTTTTAGGTGTTTTTTTCATTTTAAGTATTATTATTATTATTTTTTTTTAGGTGCTCTTTTTTTTCATTTTAAGTATTTAACCATAACTCTATAACAATCTACAAAAGAAAAACACAAAAATGGTCACAATGGCTCTCTAACTGAAAGAACGTCGATCCAAAGGGTCGGGTTCACTTCTCAAAGGACGAAAAACAAGTAAACTAAAATTTCGTTTTCCAAAAATAAATTTGGTAATAAGAAAAAATCTGTATATTACTATATAGATTCAAAATCATGGGACGTTTTTCATTTTTTTAAAAAAAGAATGCAATAAAAAAAACTAAGAAATTATTTGTTAGTTTTTCTCTGAACAATAATAGTTCTTAATCATTTTATTTTTCAAATTTTATTGATATACACTACAAATATAATAGAACAATGTAATTTTTTTTTTAATTAATACCATTATTTCAATAATTTAGTATACTTTTTTAATTTTGTAATTATTGGTGTTTCGCGGTGCACGCCGATTCTCGATATATACCTGAAGAATACGCTTTGCCGATACAAAACACTTTCTCTCATTTTCTCTCACTTTCTCTCATTTTCTCTCTTAGCTTACGAACAAGAAAAAAAGAAGAATCTTTAGTCACCTTTGAGATCAAAAGATGAACATCGCTCACACCATCTTCGGCGTTTTCGGTAGCAACCAACTTCCCAAACCTCTCCCTCTTTCTATCTTCTTCGTCTTCTTCCATGAGCAATCACTGAGAGTGCTAATCGCTTTTTGTCGTTTTCTACTTTTACAGGAAATGCAACTGCTCTGTTTCTGTTCTTGGCTCCTTCGTACGTATCAATCCCTCTCTTCTCTCGTGAACCGATTTATGATTCTTTCGATTTCTTGTTGTTCTGCTCTGAAAAAAACTCTAGATTCCTCTTTGCTGGTGAATGAAATTTAGGATAACATTCAAGAGAATCATCAAGAACAAATCCACCGAACAGTTCTCTGGTATCCCTTACCCAATGACTCTCCTCAACTGTCTCCTCTCTGCTTGGTAAAAATCACTCTTTTTACGTTTTTAATCTTCCATTAGAGTACGTAGCTCTGTTTCTCACTTCCTCTGTTTCTGGGTTTCTCTGTTTTTTCAGGTATGGACTTCCCTTTGTGTCAAAAGACAACACACTTGTGAGCACAATCAATGGAACAGGAGCAGTAATCGAAACAGTCTACGTGTTGATCTTCCTTTTCTACGCACCAAAGAAGGAGAAAGTTAAGATCTTTGGTATCTTCTCTTGCGTTTTGGCCGTATTCGCAACAGTAGCTCTTGTCTCTCTCTTTGCTCTCCATGGAAATGGTAGAAAACTCTTCTGTGGTCTCGCAGCTACTGTTTTCTCCATCATCATGTACGCTTCTCCACTCTCCATCATGGTAAGCAAACTCAAGATTGGATCTTTTTAAAGTTCTACTATTTTCTTTGGATTCATTTTGTTAATTATGTGTTTGGTTGATTGATTTAATAACAGAGATTGGTCATAAAGACGAAGAGTGTAGAGTTTATGCCATTCTTTTTGTCTCTCTTTGTCTTCCTCTGTGGTACTTCGTGGTTCGTCTATGGTCTTATCGGTCGTGACCCTTTTGTTGCAGTAAGTTACAATTTCTCCTTCTTTTGTTGTTTTCTCTGGTAAAAATCAAAACTTGGTTTCTAAATTTTGGGTTTTTGTTTTTGTGAAGATACCAAATGGGTTTGGATGTGCATTAGGGACACTGCAATTGATACTATACTTCATCTACTGTGGAAACAAAGGCGAGAAATCTGCGGATGCTGAGAAAGATGAGAAGTCGGTGGAGATGAAAGGTGATGAGAAGAAGCAACATGTGGTTAATGGGAAGCAAGACCTTCAAGTTTGAAGCTTTTGAAGATGATTTGGTTAAGTGATTTCGTATTAACTCTTCTTAATTAGAGTTTTTCTTTTCGTTTTGTTGGAATGTAAAAAAAATGATGCTGAAAAATGTTGTAAGATTTCCTGATTTCCTAATGATAACTAGTGTGATTGATTGAAGAAGACATGATGCCTTTTGTGAGTTTTTCTCATTCGAATAATTTAACCATTTGAATCACTGAAATATGAACATGTAAACACTTTCATTCACACTTATGGACAAATAGGCTTAGAACCAAAACTCTAATTATTTTTATATAATAGAGAAAAAAAGAAAGAAAATTTGTTCAAGAAAGTGTTAGATTAGCTTTAGTACCTGTGATCACCCCTGACCTCTGGTAATAATAATACATGGAGATGATTTAAGCAGTTACACAATAACCCAAGATTACAGTAAAAACATAACAGTGTTTTTATGAAACATAAGGACTATGCTCTGTCACTTATCTTACCTCCAAGCTGAAGCAACGATTAAGCTTTTCTCTTCCCAGCAAAAATGGAGCTCACCCATTTCTTCTTTAAGCTTGTACTTATTGCAATATTGTTGCTTTATGAGGTTCTGTATATTGTTGGTTACTCTAGCGCTCATTGGTTTTGGATTGAATCCAGCCATCATCATCCTCGCTCTCCATTTTCCGGCAGCCTCGTATCTCTCTATCCGTTCTTCTCCTTCGCAAGCAACAATGTTGACTATGTCTCTAGCAAGACACTGTCTTTCTACATTCATCCTCTCTTGGCTTTCTCTC